CTCCACGATCTTTTGGATGGTGGGGTAATATTGCTCCTCTTTTGAGTTGGATTCCATGTTGGTCTGGTCATCAACATTTTCGATAGGTAGCTCATCTTGAAGCTCCTTCTTTGGTTGGATGGATTGAGATGGATGCTCCTCTAGGGCTCCATTCCTTCATTCTGCATTTGAGGTTGATTATCCTTGTTTGACTTCTCCTCCACAACCTCTTATTCAATGTTCCCAAGGGTTTTTGTTGAACTTCAATATGAGGTGCAGGGGAGTCACCATACTTAAACTCTTCCTCTTAAATGTTACCAATGGTGGATACCTTGGTGGGTGGAGTACTCCTGGATTCATATTGAAGAAGGCGCATGAAGTGTTGAAAGCCTTCAAGTGGGGTGAAACCTTCAACATCTTCCCGCGAATCCAAAAAGGTTTGGATAGTGTAAGTTCTTCAATACTGCATCTTTCTTCCTGTATTGCTACTCCTAGAGGTTTTATCTCTTCATCTCCTACTTCAGAAGTTGTAAGATCGCCATCTTCATCATCAAATTCAATAGTCTCCTTATGATCTTCTTTTTGAGGATTTTTTAGAGGTTGATAACCTATATCTTTTTGGATAGGTTGAAGATGTTCGATCAAGGTCTCCATGGCTTGTGAGATGCTTTCATCGTGATATGAGTAGATTTTTTCGTCATTTGCATCTTCTTGAAGGGTGTCTCTTGCCTTCTTCTTCTTCTTCCAAAGATTGAGTTATAAACTCTTCTTCATTAAGTTCATTAGCTTCATAATGATCTTCCTCTCTATGGTTCACGATCTCTCCATCTTCTTCCTTGTCAATGTGTTAGCATTGATATGATCTTTCTTTTCTTCATGGTCCATGTAATTTTCATGCTCCATAAACCCTTCTTGATCCTTGATCTCTCCAAATTCTTCGTGCACTTCATTTGAACTTATTTATCGACTTCGGGAGGCTCCTTGATGATTTGAACATCTTCTAGTAGTTTCTTTGGTTCTTCATTTTTTACGCTAACATTGATGCTCATAAGAGGTTCTTACCTAATTTGGCATATTTATTGGAGGAAAGGAAAAGCTTGCTCCCATTCCTCTACATTTATGTAATCTTCATATGTTTCCCACATTAGCTTTAAGTCTTCTAGATCCGCTTCTTCATCATGCCAATTGATATTGATCTTCCGTTGAGAGTGACAACCTTGAGGAGGATTGGTGTTGCTTGCTTCGACCTTGGATCATCTTTCTTCCTTCTTTTTGGTATCACGTCCTTGGATGGTTTTTTTGGCTTCCTCGAGAAAGATTCCTGGAAAACAAAACCAACTAAAGCGTAATATTTTTTTAAGAAATTAAAGTCAAACACAAAATGTTAGTTCTGTTAGTTACTATAAAAAAATCTCTGGTAATGACGCCAAAAATTTGATGTGTAGTAAACACACAAGTGATAAATATCATAAACGTATCTAGGGTAGTGTTCTATAGGGTCTTTCGATAATAGCTACTCAAACCTAACCTAATGTATTCGAGTATGTAATGCAAGGAAAAGAAAACTAGTGGGTTGAGGTGCCCAATTCGTGTACTAAACTACAAATGCAAACAAAGATGCAATCAATGAAAGTAATGTTTAGGTAGTTTCTTCTAGATGGTCATGCATACAATCTCCCAATAAGATGCATCTATGCATCATCTACTATGATGCATTTTCCCTTCCTCTAAGGTCACTCTCTACACATGCATGAGCCTCTTCCAATAGAGATTGGACTAGCAAATGTGTGCTTTCGCTTCATATCATCGCCTAATCAATGAAGAACAAGGAAGTTAGGATAATATATCGTGTGGGCTTCTACGAACCATAACCATAGTCTATAACATCAATGATCTAAGAATCAAGCATCATCCTTAGTTGTGCATATAAGAAGGTAGCTAATCCTCCTATACACAGCCTAAGAAGGTTGTCTAATACACGAGATTAGTTTCTTTGTTTATCATAACTATAATAGTATAAAGCATCGATAATCATATATAAGAGATGATTAAAGCATTGCGAATACAATAAAGAATCTAAAGGCATATGCATCGGTGATCATAATATAAAGCGAGATAATAATCTTATTAACTCATAAGAGTAATACATAATAATCATATTCAAATCACTAAATAGATCGACTAGCAACGCGGAAAAAAAAATTGTAACAACATCACCATAGATACAGACATCGATGACGAATGCTTCTCCTTCGAATCTCAACAGCAATTCTCCTAGTCTATGGATTGCTACTCGTGCCTAGTGGGGCAAAGTGTTGGTAAAAGGTGTGCGTAAAAGCTCTAACCTAGCCTCCTATTTATACTAGTTACAAAAGGGAGGTTTCTAGTCTTTTTCCTCCTAGAGTTGGACAAAACCTTCCTTGTACCACTTCAACTCAGATTCCTTCAACTTGGGGATGAAGTAGCTTCTTTAGGAAGCTTTCTTTGAGGTTTTGGGTTGAGCTACGGGGGTATGGCGGTTGGACCCGTCACTTGTTTTCCAAGCGGGCTAGATTGCTTGGCCCACAATCAACTTCTCCTCCAAATTTGGATGCGTCTTGACTTGTATAACTCCAGTTGGACCTCGGTCAAAGTTAGGTTTTCTGCACTACCATATTTACTTATTTTGTCATAAAGTGAGCATCTGATGTCCAAATCCATCTTTGTTTGAGCCCGTGAGTTTTTATTCTCATCCTCCTTCTGATCCAATGGGTGCATTGGTGATCCATATTTATCTTGAGTGGTTTATAACCTTGAAAAACACAAAGCAACACCATAAAGACATCAAATAGTACATAAACACACTCAAGGTCTATCATAACCTCATTATCCAAATAGTTACTATGGTCTTAATCCTTTTTGGCTCTTGGTTACCAACAACACCCCCCCCCCCCCAAACCACAAAGACCCTCCTTAAGGGCAGGTGTTATCTTAGATAACCTTATGGTCTCATCACCCATTGACCAAGTGATAAGGGGATGGGACATACTTCAACTACAAAACTCTCATACAATTCAAATAATACTTTCTATCTTAATTCCATAAACTTCGAGCGAAGACAAAATTATTTGGAACTATGAAAAATCTCATAAATGCATGGTGAAATATAATTATCACCTTCTCTTGTTGGCAGCTAACTCAATACATAATTTCACCCCAAATTAGATGCACCCAATTTTTTTGAATTATTTTAGTCCTACCTAAATTAAAATTCTTTCACTTGAGACTAGTGAGTGGCTTCTTGTCTTGCAAGGAATTCTTCATCGTTGAATTCTCTCTCACTCAAGTTGATGTCTAGTGTGTTGTGGCCCAATGCAAAATGTTGTTCATTACTTCTTTGACTATTTGAAAGCTTAGAAGGAGCTACGAGAACCAATGGCGAACAACTATGCGAGTACGAGAACTCCCACCGGACCAAGCATGTAGATCTTTGTTCTTCTTCCCCCAAATGTCCAAGACCGACGTAGGATATACTATTTTCTTTTGCTGGAGAATATCGAAATGACGATGTAAAGCCACCTATGTGTTTACTTTGTTCCAAATCCAAGTGTTGATATGCTAACTAACAACTTACGTGGAAGAATGGCTAACAACGGAGGGGCATAAATTTCGAACAACATTAAGAATGCAACAACCATCAACAATCCAGGAAACTCAGAGATGTGGTTGAGATGTAATCTGGCCCAGAGGTGGTATCCTAGTTTGATTTGATAGTCCTATCCTGAAGATAAATCACGAATGTGCAACCGATTTCGTTGGTTTCTTAGCAACCGATTTCGAATGGTTTCTTTTGGTTTTCGTATGTTGTGACAAATCACAACTAGTCATTCGACATGCTTTGTAAAAGAAACTACTCACTCTCGCTTAGCAAGCCTTTATGGAGAAATCATTTTTATTTTCTGACTCGTCTTTTCGTATTACGTTGCCACTCGAAACTTTGAACATAGTTGTCTGACTCGATAGCAAAATAAGCTCTTTTATTAATCATTTGATTGGATACAGACTACCATGTGTGATTAACAAGGTATCATCTCCTCTCCCTATAACTCAGACTCACCAACAAGACCTGTACTAGCTAAACAGATTAATCTCAATATAAGCTTGAAATATGGTTGGGAGAGTACTATGGTCTCATAAACTATTGCCGACAATCTCGAACACAAGCCCCTACCAAAGCAACATATATAATTTTGACACGAGTCTGATGGACAGAATGAACTGTTATGATGAAGATTCACCCCATGTTGCCAAAAGTTCAAACCCCACCTAAAGGACAGAGAAAAGAGCCAGGAGACTTATACGCATTTGTGTGCTGGTTAAGGATCAATCAATGACCTTATTCTTCCTCTCTTCTTGTCCGTTTTTGCTATATATCATCACATCATTCATTTTACAAAGTGGCAACTTGCCTAACAATCTACAATGTATCACTATCACTTGCGTACATATTTTGGTTATTATGATGGATCAATATTTATGCTTCCACTTCGTGGGAATATAGATAGCTTTTAAGGGATTGAAAGAAATATCAATCACTGGCTTCGTAGAACTCACCATTGACAATCGTAGCTGGCACAGCAGGCTTTACATATTGGATTCGTGAGAAGAATTAGCAGACAGAAAATGGCAACCAGCTAATTAAGAAGGGGCTGGAGTTGACATTTTTGTTACGAATTTTTTTAAGTCAAATTATTAGTTTAGTAGTTAGTCGTTAATCAAATAGGGCTGTATGATATCATATTGCTCTACTTACGTACTATGAATGCAATACCAAGCTGCAGACAAAAACAAAAGTATCCAGAGGCAACGAGGGAAGCAGACTCAATTAATGTATATAATGAAGCAGGCCCTGATGACTAAAATATAAGGAATCATCTCCTTCATACATGCATTCGTGCCATCAAAGGAATACAATAGGGGAAAAAGGCGGGGTGGGAGACTGGGGGAGGTGTATATATGTAGCCTTGGAAACTAAAATAGTACCCCCTAAGCATGAAAATGGAGTGATATTAAACCCTAATTAAAAGGGTTGATAGGTTGAATTTAGGCTTCATAAATTTTGGAACTTCGGAAATCAGGAAATGATCTTGATTTGGAATATAATTAGGACGGGAAATAGGTTCGGTTATAATCGAAATCGTTTAGTCAGTTCTCGGTTAAACGTAAGTATTTTGTGCTTATCCTTAATCATACTGTTTATAATAGTCGGTTAACCGTAACTCTATAGTTCGGTTCTCAGTTATTTTGTTGGTTAACTAGATAACCGTTAAACAAGTAATTCGAACCTATTGGTAACCCAACCAACAAAAGTCTACCTCCTTTTTTCAATTGTGCAATTTTATAGATTTTCTTCTACATGCGTTCCTTTTTTTTAAGGTGTTATCATTGAATAAAATACAATTTGACATATATATCAAGAGCACTTCTACTGTGCTTTAAAGCATTGACGCTTTAATATACAACTTGAAGTTGTAGTATAACGTCCAAAGTACAAATTGCAGTTGAACCTTAAGGAAATTTGAACCTTTATGTTATGGTACAACTTCAAGCTGTACCATAATATAAAGGTACAACTTTAGTTTGTATAATAAAGGGATTTATACAAATGGTTATACCATAACGTTTAACGTACAACTTCAAGTAGTACCATAAAAGCAAAAACTAAAGCACCAATATTTTAAAGCATTATAAAATTTCTCATATATCAATCCATAATCAACTCAATCCAACAAAAGTACACAATAACACAATTTTATCGTCAAATTTGATTAAAAAAACAGACAAGAACTCCATCAAATTACATGGAAGTTTACATGTTACTGATTGTTGTCGAGTTACTGTGCGCAAATCCAACTTTATATTGTGCTCCTTCTAAAAGCCCTTATTTGACATTATTCTCATTTGACTTTAAGTCACTGTTACAACTAGGGTATGTAAGGGATCTTGTAGGGATTCAAACATTTCATTTTTTTGACGTATGTCCACGGCTTATCAATGCCTATTATTTTCAGTCCTCACTATGAGAATGATTGTAATCGGTTAGTCGATTAATCGTTTACCCGTCGATTACTAACTTTTTAATAATTTGTCAATAATTAGATAATTTAACTACCAAACACCGACCGTTTACTATTTAATCGATTATCGTTATAACTGTCAACCTCCAATTTCGGTTCGGTTATCCAATTACACTACTAACCGGATAACCGTTCGCCCGTCCCAAATGTGTTAGAATTTTAGCTTATATACATATGCATTATTATCACCACCTAATAGTTAAAAAAAAATTAAGAAGAATAGAAAAAAAGAATTAAAAGGTATGCATGCCTTTTTTTAACCCCCAGCTTGCTTGCTAGCTATCCCACTGCAATTAGTTAGTACTACTCCTACTCTTGAAATCATTATTATATTATATTTATATGATTAGAACACTAGCTAGCTTAGCTACCTATGGTAAGCCAAGCTAAAGCTATCTTCTACTTCTACTTCTTCTTCTCAATCTCAGCCATCACCTCTTTCTCTTAATGATATTATTATTCCTTTCCCCCACTTCTACCATCCCTCTCTCTCTCTCCCACCATCTTCTTCTTCTTCCTCTTCCCTTTTGCTATTAATGGACAGCTTACTGGATCATGATGATCAGCACCATGGTGACAGCGTGGTCGCGGTAACACTGGATCTACTCTTCTCCAGCGAAGACCATCAGCCGCCGCTCAACCTAATCCTGCCCGAAGCTGCCTCCAACTCCTCCTCCTCTTCATCATCCGACATCACCATGACCGCTGCCCGTGACCTTGTCGCCACCGCGGAGGAGGCCGGGGAAGAGGATCCGCCGGCGAGGGTTTTCTCGTGCAACTACTGCCAGAGGAAGTTCTACAGCTCGCAGGCGCTGGGCGGCCACCAGAACGCCCACAAGCGAGAGAGAACCCTCGCCAAGCGAAGCGGCGGCGGCGGTGGACACCACCAGCATCTCATCATGAGGGCACCCTCGTCTTTTCACCACATGGGATCATCCTGCCTTTTGTACCCCAGCATCGCCTCACTTCCCTTGCACGGCCGCGGCGGCGGAGGAAACAACAGGCCGGCGGCGGCGTCGGTGCTTGGGATTCAGGCGCATTCTCTCATCCACAAGCCGCCTTTTGCTCATAGTAACTACAACAGGCAGCTCTTTAGCATGGGTGATCACCAGCGGCCGGCGGTTGGTAAGCTGCCGCCGGTCTCTTCCGCTGGGAGGTTCGAAGTCAATTACGGTGGTGGGTATTTGTGGGGTGGCGACGGAGGCGGCGGCCACTCGAGTTATTCCTCTGCCGCATCGCCGGCGGCGGCTGCTGCGGCTAAACACGATGATCTGCAAAAGCTTGATCTCTCTCTTAAGTTGTAATTACTGCTACTAATCACTTCCTGATCTTCTGGTTTCAGTTTTCTTTTTTTGGTTTTTTTTTTTAATTCTGAAAATTATTAGGTCTATTAATTAGTGGGCATTAGAAGGTAAAAAAAATGGATGCCTAGTCCTCTTGTTACCTTTTTCGTTTCTTCTTTTTCGTTTGCCATTAATTGTAATCCTCTTAGCTTGATTTCTCATGTAAATATTTCTTGGAAATATATATATACAAAAGCTTTTTCCCATTATGAGAAGAAATTCGTCATACGCGACAAATCTCGATCCTCATGAATCCAGATCAACACTATATATTTATCAGTCTCCCTACTTCTTAGTGGTTAATTATATTCCGAATTCAGAAGTTAAGTTGACAATAGTTATTCCTTTCTTTTCTGTTTGTTCTTTTTTTGGGGGGAACAAATGTTAGTGACACTAGCTAATCGTATTATATTGTGTACTTATCTGTTCAGAAACTAAAGTTAGAGCTTTAATTAGAAAGTTAAAGTTAATGATGCTTTTGGAGCAAATGAATGTGTGATCTGATCTCTCTCTCTCAGGCCGCATGACAGCGGTGGTGGTGGCATGGTGGTCTACTACTCTACTACTTCAAATTATGCTTTTAGAGGTTTAAGGTTAGTGACTGTGGTTGGCAATAATCAATATAGGACAATGATTAAGGTTTTGCCATGCCTTCACTCTATATACCTTGTATATTTACAATGTTAACTCCAACTATTATTGAATACCAAGTACACATGATCAAATCCAACCTCCTGCTCTCATTTAGTCCATCATGAGTTTGTATGAGGAATCATTTATCTTTTTTGATGGTGAAACTGAAACAGATACTGAATTTGTGTGTACAACGCGTTAAAAAATAATAAATAGTTGTTTAGTAATGTAACTAGTTAGTACTTAGTATCAATAACTCGAGTCGTTAGAAGAAGTTCTAAAACAAATCAATATAAAGAATGTCAAGTCAAGAATTTAAAATTTGCAACAAATAAGTCATACATTATAGGGCTGGCTATTTGGTCCGGGCTATTTGGTTTTACCCGAAACCGGACCGGGACCAGATTGGACTCGGATAGCAAACATTCCAATCCAATCTTCGGGCTTAGATTTGAGATAAAAAAATCGTTCGGGGCAAGATCAAAAATCGGATAAACACCGGATAATAGAGCCCAACACCCAAAACTTAACCAGCTCCTCACCCTTTGAGTACTCAGACCACTCAATTCTCCACAAGCTCAATCTAAAATCAAGACCGAATTGGGACCGGACCGAGTCAAGGCCGGACTGTATCCAATTCAATATTTGGTCCTTATATTCTCGAGAAGACCGGACTGGAACCGGATCAATTCGGACCAATTTAACCAGACCGGACCGTATAGCCACCCCTAATACATTATGCTTATATCATATGCGTCCAAATGAATCTAGTTCAATTTTTTTTCTTTTTGTATTCGGAAAATACAGTTCAACAACTACTGGCACTATGCCTAAAACAAATGGAAGCTAAAGCCGGAGACTAAGTAAAGCTAGCAAGGAACCACAAAAGGAGAAGCCATATATTAGCAAAGGAACATAATCTTGAGTTAATTAATTCCATCAAGTTGCCAAGTCCTTACATCTTAATTATATGATAGAATATAAGTACCACTAAACCAAAACCTGGTTTGCTAATCCCTCTTAGTTAATTATTAATTATTGTCATTGTTATGTTAGATTGTTGTGATCCATCATCAGCCCAATACAAGAACACTATAGTTGGTCCACTACTACGTCTACGTGCATAGAATTTGTTTGGTATCATTGTACACGATGGATCCTATGTATCTACACTCTTTTTTGTTTCTTTATTTGTAATTTCTTAATGGTCGAACAAAGAATAATAAGTAATTAAGTGTTAATTAATCCATTAATTAGGGGAGTTTGCATGTAATTATTACCATATGCGTGAAGGTGAGGAAGAAGGGGGCATATTATGTTAGTCAAATCAAACCAATTAATCAGCTATGCTATCCACATCATGTTACGCTAGGGTTTAAAAATCCTTTTGACATCTCCTTAGCTAATTTCTTACATAGGAGATCTTCATTAGTGGGTCATCCAATCTTAGTGGGTCCAAATCAAATTGATGTTGCCAAAATTAACACACTAATCATGTTAATCTTCTTAATCACCGCTCCCACCCAACACATGATACAAGACTAGGACTTAATTTTCCTAAGAAGAACCAATCAAATCAACGTATGTTAAGGAGACCAAAAAGCTACATCATAATCACATTAATTATGTCTGTTTCTCTTCTATGATGAGGGAAACTTGGCCAATACGGACTCGAGACTAGCTCAAGCTTAGGCCTCATGAGTATTTAGCATGTAAAAATCAATCCGAATGGGCAATTCGAGCTTACAGTTTTTTTAGGTGGCAATCAACAAAATTTCTCACAATGATTGATTGCGGGAATTGAATGCAGAAGCACATTGTATCAATCTCATGTCTGATTGCATTTGGAGGAGATAGGATTGTCAATTTGGTTTTGGTTTTTTTTTTTTTTAACTCAAACCAAATCGATAAAAATTTTAACTATTTTACTTTTTTGTTTTAAACTGTACGTTTAGCATTTTGATGGTTTTGGTTTCGATTAATTATCAATAAGAAATCGATGATACCCAACTAAGTTAATACCCATCAACAACACACATTGTGCCCAACTTATGTATAGTAGACTTATTTCCTATCTTCATACATCTTGTCTTTTGCGACTCCATTTTTTTTACTTCCCAAACTATCGATTTGGGTTTTGTTTTTTTGGGCTTATCCAAACCAAAACCATTAAGGATCTTATCGGTTATTGGTCCTTTGAAGGCTTTGGTTTTTTGGAAATTTCACCGATTTAGTTTTTTATTTTTCATACTTATTAATAAACGGTATATGATCCACAATTGAACCTCTATCAACACTCGAGTTATTGGGTCATTTGATTCTTGACATGGTATTAGAGCCTTTTGTGACCAAAATGTCTCTTGATCGAATCCTGATGACCCTCATCTATTTCTTTTAAGCACATGGTGTCCGGACCTGTGCCTGTGCAAAATCCAAGTCTATCTGAGTGTATTAATGAGTTTGAGAGAGTGTATTGATAAACGGTATATGATCCACAATTGAACCTCTCCCAATAACATAGTAGTTCATATGCTACGCCTTGAACCTCTCGGCCACCTCACCTACATAATTAGGGCTGGGAAAATAGACCAGACCATTAGAAAAACCGTGGTCCAAACCATACCGCACAGTTTGGTCCGAACTGTAGACCATTAAGTATGGTTTGGTCTGGTGTATGGTCTGTATTATTCTATGTCTTGATCTCTTGGTCTGGTCTGGTCTAGACCGCGGTTTATCGGACCAAACCGTGGACCCAACCGACTTGTTAATACGTGTTAATAGTCCATTTATTCACTCTTCCAACTCCCACAACGGCACCCAAGTCTCAATCTTAATTTTGTGAATCTCATCCCTCCATTCACAACCAAATTTAACCAAAGAGTAGAGATAATCGTGTCTCCATATGACATTATGTTAATGTTTATGACGTTATTATGCAAGTTGTGATACTTTTACTTTATATCTTTGTTATGTACTAAGATTTTGGGTATTAAAATTATCATGCATGTTATGATTAATGTTTTAAGGCAAATAACAATTATTTTTCTTCGTTATTGGTTAAATTTATTGTGTGGTTGACAAAACAAATTGTTCATTTTTCGTTGAGTGTGGTTTATCTGGACCAGACCAAACCAAACCAGACCGCACAGGCGTGGTCTGAACCGCACCGTATAGTCTGTGGTCTGGTTTGTGCATGGTCTATAGTTCAACCTCTCAGTCTGGACCATTGACCGTATATATGGTCTGGTCTGGACCAGACCACACCGTTTCCCAGCCCTATACATAATGATTATGTCCCAGAAACCGAGTGAATCACGAGTAATTCATATCAACTTGTGGACGAGTATGGTATGTACTATCGCTTCGAGTGATTTGGATCAACCGGTTTTTGACAATAAACTAAACCAAACTGACAGCACTACTTGGAGCAGTTCACAAATTATGGCTGTTAATCACCCTCCTAAGTGTTACACTAATCCAATTGATGGTGCATGGTGGGGGAGGTTTTCAAAGGTGACAGGAGTGTCACCCAAGGCATGACTTTTGAAGCGCCTAGGCTCATGATCAATTCAGTTGGTCCTCCATCCACTTTGTTCAGTGTTAGAAGGCCATTATCTTTGCCCTATTTGGCAAATATAAAAATATTGGCAAGTCCCTGTATGGTATTTTGCCTCTTGTTTAAGAAACACTGTGCAACATACATATATTTATAGACCATTTTGATAGAGACATATTGGAAATGGAACTGGGGTTTGGTTGCTGTCTGTCATCAGTCTTCTTCGCAGTAGGAGACTAAAGGCTAGCTTTTCTGGTTGTTTGAACTGCAAGGGTCGGCAGATGGAGCTTTTAAAACAAGCCGAATTATAAAGGGTTTGATTGTAATATATTCATTTTCTGTAGGAGTAGGCTAATTTGACATAATTCAAAAAACTCAAACACCCTCGTTTCAACATTGTTTGAAGAGATGTAAATCGAGAAAGTTTTGTATTGGCTTCCCGAAGTTAGAGGTGCAATTAATCAAATTAACAATTCGAAGTTTCCACAGCAAACAAATGTACATTGAGGAAAATATTTTTGTACCACTTGATAAGACTTGGTCCACTATGTACCACCTTTGTTTTTAATTAAAATTTTGAATATATTTACCAGTAAGGAATAGATTCATTGTGATCTATAGAATTTGATATATTTCTAGAAAAAATTTAGGGCCAAATATAACAACTTGTACCACCCTCGTACAAGGTGGGAAAATTATGGTAGACCGTAGTAAAAGGTGGTAGATGGTAGTTAGTATATCCATACTATAATGTATATAATTATTATACACTATCTCGTATTCATACCACAATAGTACACTTCATACCACCATGGTATAATCTCCTGTACTACCAAACATTGGCGTCACGGTATAGAGTCATATTATATGTTTCAATTGTTTTGTTCCAAAATATATCAAAGTGCATGTTATTTTGAAAAGCAAGATTAATCTTTTTTATGTGCAAAAATTAAATTTTAAATTGAAATAAAAGATATATAGCTTATTAAATTTAATGAAGAAAAAAGTTATGCAAGATCATTAAAACTTTGGTTGCTGACCAGATCCGGACCCATATGTATATGGTTCTTCTCTTTCTATGTGAATGAGCTTACTGCATAGCCGAGTAGTTATGTTCTCTCAACTTTCTGACAGTGGTGACCACATTTGTCTCACATACCTTGATGTTTAACGGTGTCTATGTTGATCCCCCTTGTACGACGTCATGTTTGACATCGTGCTTAGTGGATGCGCATCAAGCACGATGAGGTATCAAGTGTTTGTTAATTAAGCATTTACTTTTTATAAGACGTATAACCATTCTCCGGCGATAAAATTTTTGTTTGAACATCAACGAATGCACTTTCGACTTCTTTGGACAATGATTCTACACGCGGTTCATGCCTATTCAAACAATATTTGAACAAGGATGTTTGATATTTTTATGACTTTGCGATTAAATTAAACTACGTTAAGTTACTCTTGCTTCTTAGAAGATTCAGTGAGAGCTCTGGTTACTTAAAATTATGACCATAATTACAATTCAAAATAAAAGATAAAGTTTGACATGTGGTATCAAGTATTTGTTACGGGCTCTTGCTTCATCTTCGGTTTTTCTATTTATAACACGATCATCTGTAACTGCCACTGTACTGTCTAGTGCTTGATGTAGCTTTGCTTGAATCCCCAACACCATTCCTTCCATGTAAACAACTTGACACCTTGACCGCTTGAAGACTTCACTTGACAAGTAGCCAGGGTGATGTCACCAACCCCTATGGTGATGTCATAATGAGAGGACGTCGGCGAGAGGGTATACGATGAGGTACCTCGCATGAGTATATTACCCACAACGAAACATGCCCTTGGAACTAGTTAACATGGTTTGGCTTGCTAAGCTATGTACATAACTGGTATTAACATGACAGAAGCACGTTTTTATCGGGTTTCTATTATTAATTATGGTAGGTTATTTATTATTATAGTTAGTACTAGTAGTATTCGAGTCGTATTAGGTTATTTATCAGGTTTATTCCGGTATTTGGCTATATATATGTACTTTGAGTCTTTCATCAGAATAAGCAGAAATCAATAGAAGATTATCTCCCCAAACCCTAAGCTCTCTCTTTCTCCTAATTTCTCTTCTCCCCTAATCCATGGCTTCGGCCGATTCTTATTTTTTTCTTCTTCTTCCCCAAATTCTCCATCCCACTCCCTAAATCTATCATAAATCCCTAATTCTTCCCAATCTAATCCTATTCTATCAAATCCCTAATTATCGATCTATCCCCAATTTCGTAACCCTACCCTAGACGCCTTGGATCAACAGGGTTTCTATCATAACATGATTAATTTAGTCTTCTTAATCATAACCACTTTTTGAAATTAATCGATATGGTATTAAGTTGTTTTTTCTAGTAAATAGTAACACTTTTTCATTAGTTATATATGTATACAATTATCAATCGAATCCCCCCATTCCCTCTAAATCACATGTTTTTGCTAATTCTCGTTATTGCTTTGCCATTCTCAATCACAAACGGGCACTCAGGATCGGTGGGTGTATCGACGGGTGTTCAAACGGAGTAGTTTTCGTTGAAATCATTTTAACCAGTAGTTTTGGATAATTTGATTTGTTTAATATGAATAATTAGTTTGGTTTGGTTAAATTTTTTAACTTGTTTGGTTTTGGTGGTTTTGATTTGTTTCAGACACTTCTAACTAATCAAATTAAATTAACCAGTTAAGTAATTAGTCATATATCTAATATATATTCTATACACATACTTAATACTTTATATAACTACTCAAGAGTCAAATGTAAGATAATTGCATTTGTTACATGTATTTATGTTAAGGGTTAACTATAATTATGCATTGATTGTTATGTGTTATTCATTATATAAATTGCAAATTGATGCACTAACCGGAAATTCTTCTCAGTTAATGATAATTTGATGTTATTTTTTATTTTGGTTAATCAATTAACCAAACCAAATAAACTTTAGTATGTTTAATTTGATTGTTATATTAGTTTGGACGGTTTGATTATAATATTGTATTTCATGATTAATAGAATTTAGACTTGTCTGGTTTGGTATTTACCAAGGTAATCATTTGACTATCCCTAGTGTATCACATCTATGTGAAGTCGTTCCTCTGAGCTCAAGGCGTGAATAAAGGACAAGTCCATACACGACTCTGTTTGCTTTGACATGCATTGTTTTGGCCTTCCACTTTTAACCGTACAAATATGGCGTAGTGCAGTTAGATTATGTTTGGTGTTAGTTTCAATGATTAAAATACTGTACCGTACGACAATTCGACAAGAAAACTCTTATACCGGAAGCAAAATCGGTAGGCGGTATTTAGCAGGATATTACGGTTGAATTATGGTTAAACCACGGTTTTAGCATAAAATACCTTACCGAAGACTTTTCCGGTACGACCTCCGGTACTGTATTTTAGTCCTTGGTTAGTTTATGTTTGGAGTTAGATTAGCTGCCTGCCATGGTTTAGTTCAAACCAATTCCTTAAGGAACTTGTATTAAATTCGAAAGTATCCGTCCGGTCCTACTACATGTTCGGACGAAGCTTCCTCATCTTAGAAAAGAGGCACAATTAGAAAATTGGAATGAGTAAGAGTGCAAAAGGCCAAAGAAATCATGCACTGCCTTAATTATTTTATTGATACATAAGATCTGTGGCAGATCTTCAAGACCAAATATTTGTCTTGCATCCGCAGATACTTCAAGATGACGATGATATGTCAATGTTCATTTTGATACAAACAAGAGCAATTGCTTGCTGATAAGGTCAGAAACAGCTTGACATTTTGGCAGTGGCCCTTTGGTTGGTTGTCAACACCATAGTATTGTTGACATCAAAGGCAGGCCGGGTGAGGTGAGAGCTCAGTTCAACACTGAGACGTGAGACCATACAAAATGCCAACAATAATGCATCCACCCCTAACTTGGTCATTACAATTTCAACTTCTAAACAGTCCCCTGCTTTTCAAACAATGCTAACACACGGATGATCATACAAACAGTAAAAATCTGCTTCCTGTCACTTCTGATTCAGCATCTCCAGAATTGACTTCCAGCTTAAATAAAAACATTACATCAACCCCGAACGCATGCAAATTCAAAAAGGGTTTGTCTGTGACTGCTCAGTTGCATCAAAAGAAACCCAAAAATTGTAGTCTTTCTCAAGAGTCATATATTCATACAGCTGATTGAATACATGCAATGCTGTGGTTTAACTGTTACTGCTCATATTTACTTCGGCAGTGCTATACCAATGGCTCGAATTTGAATGTTGGAGCTAGACTCCTCAAAACAAATAGCAGGAAACTCACAAAGAGCAGTTGATTCAATAGTACAAAGTCACGCGATTGGACAGCGAAAACAAAAGCAAAATCTGCAACCGAACCAACTCTATAGACCTACTAAGGATTGATCGGCTCTAGGACTTCTCCATGTATGACTTCACAGTATCCATCCACCTGATGTATTCTGTTTTACCTTTGTTCTTCACATATTCATGCAAGAAAACTGCAATCTCATCGCCGATGCCCCTTGCCTCCAAGAACTCGTAAAGCGAGTCTTGAAGCTCATCATCCAATTCCCTGTGACAAAGTCAGCCGACCATCACCAACACGAGAAGCAAGAGAGAGAGAGAAAGCATGGAAGATATTCAAAAGAATAACAAAGACGGTTATCGTACATACTTGAAATCAGGACCAACATAAGGCTTTGCTGGCATATTCTTCGTGCTCCGTATGAAGACTTTTGTAATTTCAATGGTATCTGGCCAGGCAGAGCACATTATCTCTAGAACATCATCATCACCAGGCTTAGATATATTGACAACCATAGTGATGTGAAGTTGAACATTTTCTTTCGAGTCAACACCACTTGATTTTGGAGCCGGTATAGCAGCATCAAACATGCTTGCTTCAACTTTGATATCTTCATCTGCAGAAAATGTCCTCTTCAGCCTAATCCATTGCTCCCCTGGTTTGTCAACCAGGATGAACGGGCCAAAACTGGTTACAGGCTGCAAAGTTATTGTTGAAAGCTAGAATTAGAACACAGGAGCTGAGATTGGGTTCCAGAACGTTAAGGTTTTCAGAAATAGACAGTCATCAGAGAGATATACAGTTTAAAAAAGGAATTTAACTTCTGGATACACATTTCTCAAGAGTCAGAACCATGCTATTGCACCTCCCAAGCACAACAAATTATGGAAAACCCTGCATTTGAGTAACCATAACCAAAATTTTCAGGTGTCACTTATGCACATAATAACGCCGAGATATCTCAGACAAAAACCTAAGTGTTGGGAAGAAATAACCATATTGTGCTGCATCTTCAACCAACTAGCCTGAGTACAACCCACCTTAAACAATCAGCTACTGACACCAAAGCTTCATCGCACATATCACTTTAGAATTGTTTATATGATGTTATAACAATATTGTATCAAGCACAAACATCTAGTTTGAACAAAATAACAGCAGGAATCAACAATTAAACAAACTGAAACTAGGGGTCAAGATTTGAAAATAAATATTGGTTCCCCATCAAGTTGGCATCTCCAATGCCATTTTACACGGCACCACCATCCAAGAAGTCTACATGAAGCAACCTCCTGGTTTCATTAATCTCCATCATCGCCTCCAGAATCTATCTGTGGTCTTCATCAAGCTCCTAGAGATTGGTTTCAGTGTCTGGCAACTGCTCTCACCGAAATTGGCCTCTCTGCATCTCACATAGATCCCTCCTTATTCACCTACAAAGCTGGTTCTATTCGATTCGATATGCTCGTTATGTCGATGACATTATCATCATCTTGATGGATGATTCTCTTCTTTGGTCCCTCCTAGGTTTTCTTCCCTCTCACTAAGTCTCACCTAACCTCAGTTGTCTATCTTATTTCCTAGGCATTGAGGTTCATCATACTTCATCAGATTTTCTCCTCAGCCAGCACAAATAAATTACGGATCTCCTCCCCAAATTGGGTGTATCAGCTAAATCTATCCACCCCCTACACCACTGATCACATCATTCAAAGTGCTACTAATTCCTCTTCAGCATTCTCTGATCCCTGTATGTATCACCAGATTGATTGTGGGCTTCAATATCTGAGTTTTACTTACCACAAGAATTTGTTCAACATCAATCATGCTTCTAAGTCCCAAGTATATGCACACACCTACAGATAAACATTGGACTCATGATAACTCTGCTAATATTTCTTGCTTACTCTCTGTTGCACCCACGTTGCCCATATCTCTTTCTGTTGTAATCACAAAGACCGTATCTTTTGCTGTAACTACTTAGCTATTTCTCATCTTAGGTTAATAAGACAACAGAAACATATTTAGCTTCCTAGGGAGAGCACGCAAAAGTCATAAACCAGCTAAGCCGCATCGACTTTAGAGCACTTTACATATTCAAACACTATTCTTTAGTAAAAGTCACTAAACCAAACTACAAAGTTCATGAGACCTAACTACCAAACCCAAAATCAAGGAGCTGTCAAAATTCAGTATCCATATCTGAATGCAGATATCAATATCCCAGATAAACAGATGACATAACTCTGAACCCAAAATCCTACAAATGTCGCGTTCCAGGGCAGTAACTTTCCATTTCCCATACTTTACGAATCACCCATTAAACAGAACATACAATTTTCTACGCACCATATAGCAACAAAATCGATATCAGAGACGAAGAAGGGAAAGTGGATGGAAATTTACCTGCTTTGGGGGGAAGTGATCGAGCTCGTACTGAATCTCGTTCCTCAGAAGCCTGAGCATTTTGTCCTGGAAGGCGGATTTGCGCATTTCGGACATATAAGTTCTGGTGTGGGAGGTTCGCGAGATGCCCAATGCGTTGGATTGAATTAGTCCAGCGAGAATCGAATTGGGGTTTTGTGGGCGGTGGCATTGTTCGAGAACTTGTTGGGAGAAAGGTAGGGATTTAGGAGATGATGGAAGGATTTTCCTCAGATGTCGAGTTAGTGCCATTCCGATTATTTTACAGGAGGAGAGGCAGATAGAGCAGTGAAACGAGTGGAAGGGTTTAGGGTTTAAGCGTGAGAAGAAGATGATGCCCCGCTCCTGCTTCTGGGAGCTTCCGTATTTCGCGTCACGTTGCTGCAAGCCTGCAAAGAAATGCATGGTAGTTATCATAAATAGTCACAAAACTATTCACTTTGTACAAAACGGTCACAAACCTTTAGTTTTGCACATTTCAGTAACATATGTTTCAACTAGTAACAAAAAGGTAATTCCATCCATCTCTATCTTAAATTCTATTAGTTTGTCCAATCCAGCATCCACATCATCAAAATCATTATTAAAAAATAAAATAAAACCAATTAAACCCTAACCAACCCAATCCATTCCTTCTATCTCCTTCCCTCTCCGTCACCATCTCTGCACCGCCTTCTCAGCTTCCACTAATCATGTCAAAACTCCCTACCTTCCTTTTCTTCTTCCTCTCCACCATCTCCATTTCGGCATTTCCCTTTCATCTCACCCACTCGACCCACTAACGTCGGCCGAGTTCACTACCGTCCAAACCGCCGTCCGTGCACACTACTCCAACCACACCTCCATCGGCCTCAAGGACCCACCCAAATTCGCCGTCCTCTCCTATCTACACCACCACTCCGCCGGTCCTTCGTCGCGACGAGCCTTCATCATCGCCCGAGTCAACCACTCAACCACCCATGAAATCACCGTCGACCTGACCGATCCCAACAACATAATCTCCGACAAAGTCTACATTGGCACCGGCTACCCGATTTTCACTACCAAGGAGCAACTCGCAGCCAGCGCGCTCGCCGTCGGCCACGCGCAGTTTTTGGAGTCCGTACGGAAGAGGGGGCTCAAATTGGGGAAATCGTGTGCAGTCGTACGGGATCGGGTGACTTGATTAATTTTATTCTGTTGATAAATTTGAGTGGAAGCTGAGAAGGCAGTGCAGAGATGGTGGCGAAGAGGGAAGGAGATAGAAGGAATGGGTTGGATTGGATTGAGTTTGTTAGACTCTGTTCACTTCCATTTTCGTTTCCTGTTTTCTGTTTTCATGCGATAAATTTGGCAACCGAAATGAGAAAACTTGTTTACTTTTCATTCTGTTTTCTATTCGTTTCCAACTATGAAAACAGAAAGTGGCAACTTCCTGCTGTTTTCGGTAAACGACAAAATGTTGTTTTTCACCTGTTTTCAACATCTGTTTTCTCAAAAACAGGAAACAGAAATGAAAGTAAACAGGCCCTTAGGGTTTAATTGATTTTATTTTATTTTTAATAATTATTTTGATGATGTGGATGCTGACTGGACAGTTGACTGGACCAAACTAATAGAATTTTGGATGGAGATTGACGGAATTACCTTTTTGTTATTAGTTGAAACATATGTTACTGAAACGTGCAAATTTAAAGGTTTGTGACCGTTTTGTACAAAGTGAATAGTTTTGTGACTATTTATGATAATTACCCAAGAAATGTCGGGTGAGACGTGGGTCGGGACTCGGATTGGGTTGTGGAATGGCTTACCCAAATCCGGTCTGGTTATTGTTGAGGCCTTGAGTTTGAGAAGAGCATTGTGATGTGTTGGTTAGGGGTGGATATCGGTATCCCAATACCAAATACTGAAATTCTGAATATCAAATTACGTTTTAATATCAATCCAAATCACAATCTCTAAATATTTCGGTATCTCAACCAGTATTTGGGTATCTCAATAGGTATTATCGAATAAAAAATTAATTGCCTTTGTAATTAATGATTAAATATATAAATTAGATTTGATTGTTTATTCGACAAAGAGAGTAGGGCAAAGAGACTAAGTAAAGAGTTTTGGGTTTGCCTAGAGCTAGGACATGGATAGAGAGAAGGGAGTAGAGGTGACAACTCAAGTTTTTGTCATTGGAAATTTTTAATTTGACGAATTAGAGGCTGAGAAACGAAGAATACTAGCGTTTTTATTTTTATATTATGAAAATAACAAGAGATTAGATGAGAGACGAGAGTGACTGATAACGATGTAATTGCACGTATTTGCACCCCTAGTTCTTATCCGTTTGAGGGGCATAGTCGTGTATTTTTGGCCTATTTTACGCCGGGTTGTGCTACTTTGTCATATTTCAGGTCCCAGGCGTCAAAGGAAAGGCTAAGCACGAGTTTCGGGGCATTCGGAAGTCATTCGGTAGAGCTGGAGCCAAAACACGGGCACACCTAAAACAGAACACGGCCGTGTTCTGAGACCGTGCTTTTACTGCCAAGAGCTGATTTGAGTTTGGCAAACACTAGCCAAAACACGGGCAGGGCTGAGAAATTACACGGCCGTATCCACCAAAGCACGGCCGTGTCCACCCAAAAGCACGGCCGTGTTTCTCCCAACAGGCTGGCCGTGTAATTAACCCTAGCCAAAGCACGGGCGGGCTGGAGCAAAGCACGGCCGTGCCCTCGACTGTGCTTTGCCCAGTGATGCCCTTTTAAGCAGATTTCAGCCAAAAGAGAAGGGGATTCGAGTTTTGAGAGAGACAGAGCGATTCCTAGAGAGAGAAAGCGACGAACAAGAGTCTCCAAGTGCCCTAGCTTGATCTTCATCACCATTGGAGCTTGGCATGAGCTTGGAGAAGTGCCGATCAACGTCCAGGAGCAGGAATCCATCCTTCACAGTATGAATTCCGCGTCTGATTCTGCTTTTGCTTCTTTCTCCATGGAGTAGTTCTCCCATTCATCTGGGTATGGAGAACCCTAGATTTGTATGTTAGGTTTGATTGTATGAACCCAAGTACTGATTCTATGATTTGATTATATTCAATTGAGGTTTGAATGATTTAATGGCATGAATCCTGATCAAATTCCTGTTGTTTCTGCTTTAACCTAGAATGAGAATATCTGCCTAGGTTGATAGAGCATCCTTGATTGAAGGTAGGGAGTTGGTGACTTTAGTCGAGGAGCCAACTCACTATTCTGTACCGGATTCACTCCGGTAGTGGAGGTTTTGTTTGTTAAGGCCTCAATCTGTTTACTCCAGTGGAGGTTAGTCGTCCACTAGAGACTCAGATTGAGAGGGTCTGAAGACCTTTAGTCGAGACTTCAGGCTGTTTGAGAACCTTCCGCAGTATAACTATCATAGAAACTAAACTTGGTAATTGCAATCCGGCTTAACTGCAGTCTAGGGGGAACCATATCCGGGTGACCTCTCTTAAACTGAATACAACAGTTTACTTGCTTTGTTTGTTTGGTAGTTTAGACTTGCATTAAAGTTTCATTGCTAGATAACAAGAATTCACTGAGTAGTCATCAAATCTAGGACCCGGGTTGACATTTAAACCTAAACCCGCTATACTACGCTTTAGGAAGTTGTTTCACTTGGCCAATTCCTGGAGTGACAGTAGAAGTGAGTCAAGTTTTTGGCGCCGTTGCCGAGGACGGCTAGGTTGTTGAAGAAAAGTGATTTCTGTTAATTTAGCTTTTATTTTTGCTTTGTTTGCTTTGTCCCACTTGTGCCTTCACGGGTTTGTTTGCTTGAGTGTGTGCAGGTAGTGCATGACCCGTAGCCAGTCGGGAGGTTTACTGCCGTTGAATCCAGAGATTGACCGCACCTGTCGCCAACTCAGGAGACAACAGCGAGCTAGACTGGCTACGGAAGAGCGCATAGACGGCCACCTGAGCAGCGATTCTGAGGAAGAGTACATGATGGACGGAGAGTACAATCAACACCAGGGGAATCCTCAGCAGGCTCCCCCGGTGAATCAGGTCCTGGGGAACAACCCCATACCCCAGGATCATGAGGTTCATCATCATCCACCGCCGCCGGGTCCCACATTGGAGTACTACTACACTCCACGGATCGCTGACATTCCCCCGATCATCCTCTACCCGCCTATTCCAGCAAACAACTTCGAGATCAAGCCATGCTGGATTCAGCTCATTACATCCTCTATCCATTTCCATGGCTTGAAGGATGAGGAGGCCAGGGTACATCTTTCCCGTTTTCTGCAGCTGACGAACGGGTTCAAACTGAATGGTGTCCCCGATGATGCAATCCGCCTTCACCTTTTCCCTCATTCTCTGGCGGGGAATGCTAAGAGGTGGTTGGAGACCCAGCCCCCATTGTCCATCACCTCTTGGGACGATCTGGCTGACAAATTCGTGCATAGGTACTATCCGGCATCGAAGACTACAGAGATCCAGCGGGAGATCACTCACTTCCGCCAAGAGCCAGATGAGTCACTTCGTGATGCATGGGAGCGGTAAATGGGATATTTCTGGCAGTTTCCCCATCATGGCTTCAGTGATGCATTCACAGTGGGGAACTTCTACAATGCTCTCTCTCCAGATAGCCAGAGGGTGATTGAGTCTCTATGCCCAGGAGGGGATATTCTTACTAAGACTCCACCCGAGCTGAACCAGATGATCAATACCTTGGCTGCCAGAGATCATTCTTGGGGGCAGAGCAGCAGAGGCAGACATTCCCGGGACCGTGGTGTGCACGCCATGGAGACCAGATCCGGGCTCGAGCAACATGTAGCTGAGTTGGTGCAGACATTGAAGCAGCCCAACAGTCTTATTCTGGGCAGAGGTTTGGCTACACCTCCAGTAGCTCAATGTCAGTGGTGTGAGAGCTCAAATCACTTAGTGGAAGACTGCCAGGCTATGAGGGAGTCTACTACTCCCCAAGAGAAGTTGGACTTCATCGCCAATGCTCGGCGCCTCGACCCGTACAGCAACACATATAATGAGGGGTGGCGCCAGCATCCCAATTTCGCCTAGAGCAGCAACACCACTAAACCACCTGGTTTCCCAACACCAGCCGGTGGTTTTCAGCAGAGGCAGCCTTTCCAGGCTAGGCAGGATTAAGCACGTATTTTCAGCAGAGGTTTTCAGCAGAGGTTTCTCAGCACCAGCCGGTGGTTTTCAGCAGCACCAGTCGACGGGATCCGGTCAACTGCAAAGGTTCGTCAAGCTCCGGCCAAGATTAATCCATAGAAAATTAGAAAGGTTGATACTTGACGAACGTAGCTAAGCTTTATAGACTTTGGGTTGAAATCTCTTTCCATAACCGAGTTTCCACTTTCAACTAGGACAAGGAAAGATTTGGCAAAGGATTAACGCAGTTAGTTATCAACCAAGTAACTCAAATAAACACAACACGCACTCACTCTCAAGCGAAAGTATAAATGTCAAAACTAGTCCAGACTGAAGCCTTTGTAAATAGGTGTGTGGGTTGTTCAAGAGTGACAATCTCGAGTGAGACTATGTCACCATAAAGAAACTCGCTCTTGAATGAAGTAACAATCATTTCTCACGTGATTGTATGTTATCTTAAAATAAAAATAGCCAAAATATAAAGGCAACTTGATTGTCATAAAACAAAGGTGTATTAGCTGACGTAGGATGATCCAATTATTAAAACAACCATCGATCAAAGCAAAATGAGTTCACTAACTGCCATCCGTAACATGATATTCAATTTCAGCAGAAGAGCGAAGACTTATCTTCTTCTTAGTGCGGCAAGAAATGGGGCACAACTTAAACTCAAGAAATAACTTAGGTTTGAACCAGGGGCGGAGGGAGTGTGTTAGAGGGCGGGTCCCGGGACACACCCTAACTCGGAATGAAAAAGGATAAATTAGGTATAATAGTTAATTAAATGAGAATTGTTGACCTTTTAAATATTTTATGTGATTTATAAGTTGTGTATTGACATATTCAATGTTTTTGTCGTGATTTATAAGATATGATCCACCTAAATTTAAAGATGTAGTTGTTCAATAAAAACAACAAATTCCCACCAAATCATAGCTAACTTTTTATATATAATTTTATTCGAATAAGGTGTAGGGGAGAGTGTAACCAGTGACTCCTAATGACAAAATTGAGTAAATTAGTATAATATATAGTAAATTGAGAATGAAATTTAGGGCACTTCTAATTGAGAATGGTTGACCGAGAGATCATGTGTTCGAATCTTTGTGATCCCATTTGTTAATCACATGATATTCGAATTTGAGAAAACTATAAGCACGTATAAGTTGGTCTTCATTAGTAGGGATGTGTTAGTAAATACTAAATAGTATAAGATCCATTATTAAACCTTCCCCAACAACTCGAAATATTGATACTAAACGGTCTTGACAAAGAAAACCGTTAAAAGCAAATGTGTAACTAAATCATGAAAAATTGTATAGAGTGATATTCTTGATAATTTCAAAATCTATTTAATTTACCAAGTTTTTGTAAATACAAAATTATATCATGAATAATTTAAAAAGCTAACAAAACTATTTTATCACGTGTATTTTTCTTAAATGAACCCACCCTCAATAAAATTTTGGCTACGCCCCTAATTGGAACGATGAACAGTTGGACAACAGCCCAATACCAGAATTCAAGAAACCACAATTTATCTTTAACGTCTAAGAGAAAACTTGTTAAAAAAACATTCAACAGAAAAATCATTTATATTAATTGGTTATTTGACTCAACAATATAATTATTAAGGAGCCCTTGTGCTCAACCTAACCCTGAGGACAACTTCTTTAATTATATATATATTAGGTGTCGATGCCGCCACTTGTCGCGGGATGGAGATGTCCTATGGGCATGTATTATGTAGCCCATTAAGGTGTTTTCTTAGTATTATTAGTCTAAAATTAATTTTTTATTAGCCGTTTTGTTAGTAATATTGACTTGACAATATGATATTGACTGAGAATAGATATATCGCGGTCAACAACCGATTCAAAAATTTTGAAAATTTTGGCTAATAAATGATATTTACCTAAACCCAAGTAGACTCATTAATTATGGGTAGGTTATGTGTGACATGTATATGAGTTTGGAAGTTTGTAGATGGGTTTGGGTAGGGTATAGATATTTACTTTCATAATCTAAAGATGTGTATGAGTTGCGTATGGATACCCATTTATTCGAGGGTGTTTTGATA